TCACTTTGCTGCCTGAAATATATTGAAATACAGTTATCAAAATATGAAAAAATACAAATTAATAGACCTCCTTGAAATATTTACCAGTCCCTTGGTGGTCCATTGGCCCTCTAGGTTAAAGCCAGTGCATGGAGGTCCCCTCTCTAGATGCCAGAAACGCAGGAAATGGAATCTAGGAAGTGCTTCCTTTGATAGCCTAACATAGAGAACAGTGTTGTTCAGTGGGCTGTGAAAGTTGGCAAAATGTTCATCTAAAGCTTTAGTTATCTAACTGTGATCTGTGATTTAGACGAGAGAGCACCTGGGTCCAAGTCTCCCTTCTGACCCTGTTTTTAACTTTCTGTCTATGGGCAAGTCAGTATGAACCTCAATTTCCTTGTCTATACAATGTCCTCCCTGCCTCACTGGATTGTTGTGAGGCAAGTGTGAGATAAATGTTAGCCACGCAGGCATACCCAGGTAAGGTACCCAAGGTACCCAAGCATCACTTCAGTATCCTCAGCAACTGCAATCCATATGTGAAATTAGAATGACCACAAGAGGAGAAAGCACAAAGAAAAAGAGAAAAGATTCCTCCAGTAGCAACCAGATTGGGCCACTGTCAATCATGATAGGAAGAGATGTGTGGGAACCCTTGCCAGGGAGTCTCCTTAGCCTGAACTGTTCCAGCTGGAATTCGACTTGCAGATCAGCAGGGCTGGAGAATGCACCAGGTTTCCCCACTCAAAGCTGTAAGGCAACTATTAAAAACACTGAATTATTTTGGAACCAAGGTTGCAACCAGCTTAAGTTTCATTATGGTAATTCATCAAATAAGGCAAAAGAGCTGACAGTTTGTCTACAGCTCCATGCTCACTGGAGTAAAGCCTGCCTGGGAGACTTTCCCAGACACTAGTATAGGTCATCAGAAACTGACGATCTGAGCCAATCGAGGGCGTCTGGTCACCTTACTTGAAATCATCCAGGCTTTGTTCCTTTCTTTTTCTTTTCTGGCCAGAGTTTAGTCTGGCTCCCACCACGGGCACACCCACTGTGAGCAAGCATATTTTTACTGTCCTAGCTAGATAACATTTTTGCCGCTGTTAGCCTTCAGGGAAAGAGAGACAGAGAGGCCTCAGTGAATACAGAAGCAAGCTGTCCTAGAGCAATTCTGACTTCTGAACAGCCATTACAGTGGAAAGGATAAACAAGCTAGAAGCAAAATGAACAACAATGGAAAACTGGTCTAGAGTGGTGGAAGAGAAAACCTTCAGAAGGATTCATTAGTCTCCTTACTGATGTAGTCATGGATCACAGATTCAGAGCCAGAAGGAGCCTTCAAGGTTATGGAATCCAACTCCCTTATTTTGTTGTTATTCAGTTGTTTCATCAAGCCTAATTACATTTGGGGTTTTCTTGACAAAGATTTGCCAAGGTTTGCCCATTTCCTTCTCCAGCTTATTTTACAAATGAAGAAACTGAGGCAAATAGGGTTAAGTGACTTGCCTAGTAAGTACCTGAGGCAGCATTTGAACTCAGGTTTTCCTGACTGCAGGCACTTCTCTTTATTGCTGTACCACCTAGCTGTCCCTCATTTTACAGATGAGAACATTTAGGCCCAGAGAGGTTAAGAGACTTGCTCAGGGTCACATGGCCAGTAGTGTCTGAGGTTAGATTTGAACACAGGAATTTCTGACCTCAAGGCCTGCACTCAATGGTTTACAAAGCATTTTGCTCACAATAATCCTATGATATAGGTAGTACAAAAATTATTATCCCTGTTTTTCATGTAACCCATGGCTTAGATTCCCAAGCTGTGGCCTTGGGCAGATCAGAGTTTGATCTTGGGGATCAGCCCTACAAATAATAATAATTCTTTGGGTTGTGTTGTTCCCCATCCTCAGGTTTGCCTTGAAAAATTTCAGAATGTAGTTTGAATGTGGCTTATGAATAGGTCTTCTCAGATGTGGGTCAAAGGGTCCCCAGAGCCTATACAGAGCTTTCAAGGAACACATATTTTGAACATATATTGAAAGCCTTTATTCTACTTCCTTGGAAACACAGAAAACAATATAAAATCTTCCAATAGCCCATAAACAATTAACATAAGTCTACTTCTTCAGAGGATCCCTTTGGTAGGGAAACTACGCAGGGGTTATTAGCAAGGTAACCCTTGACAATCCTGCTAATCCAGTTTCCATCCCAGAAGCTCATCTTGCCATTTCATCTTATGGTTCTACCTCGAGAGCTTAGACATCTCTAGGGAGGGAAATCCACTTGGTTTTGTTAGAAAGTTATTCTGGTGAGTCCCACTTCTTTCTCAGAGATTCATAGTGACATCCAGCTTCAGAGTGTTACCATGAGGGCTTGTGCACTTGTTCAGAAGGGATTACTAAAGGCAAGCTCCTTTACCATCAGACCAGCACTGTCCAAATAACTCATGCTAATAGCAGAGGGCAAAATTCAAATCTTTTGTTCTCCCAAATCATGGTTTATTTTCTACTGTTGCCCCTTCAGCTTTGGGGGTGGCATTGATTCTCTTCTCTTTCAAAGAGATTGACATGGCCCAAATATACTTCTCTCTCTACAAAGCTAGGTCCCAAGACTTTCCAACCTACCATTGCTTCTAAGTCAAGTACAAGGTTGGCACTGCTCTTTGCTTGCTAGAAGGCTGGATTTGGAGGAATCACACCGTCCAGAATCCTCACTCCTTCAAATATTCGAGACGCTGGGCCTCAAAAATTCTCAATTGTTCTCTCGAAAGCTGGAATTCAGGGACACTCACTCATGTCCCACCATTTGAGCCATGTGGTTCCTCTCTCCCTGGAGGTCACTGCCTCTCCAGGGTCCAGGCATTCAGAATTTAGAGACTCAGGAGCCCTCTCTGGGGCTGAGGTGAAGAACAACCAGCTTGGATATTCCCCTGGGACCAAAGTCCACTGTGAGATGTCTGGCCTATCAGCTGTGCTCCAAATAGGGGGAAATGAAAAAAAGGACTGAGTCTATAAATCACCTTAAACACTGGATGAAGGAGTTTATCTTTTCCTTATGTTCAATTCATTTTAAAAATGCTTGTTAAGTGTTTGCTGTGTGCTAGGCCCTAGGAACATAAAGACAGATATGAAATAGACTGTGTTCTCAAGAAGTTTATCATCTCCTGGGGAGAAAAGACAAGTGCACAAATAATAAGGAAAAATATGACAAGTACAAAGGAGAGGTCCAGACAAAATGCTATGAGAGATTTGTAGAGGAAGAGGTAAGCTTTCATTTGGGGAGTGTTGTGGAGCAGGAGAGCAAGGGAAGAAGGGAAGGCTTTGTGGAGAAGGAGGAGGAGGAGTGTCTAACTCGGACCTTGAAGGAAGGCAGGAACTTCAACAAGCAGAGATTGAAGGGGCAGAACATTCCAGAATGTGGAACAGAAGGGGAAGAGAAGGGGAAAACATTTATGAAGCCCATCTACAATGTGCTAGGCACTGTGCTAAGTGCTTTACTAATGTTATCTCATTTAATCTTCACAACTCTGGGAGACAGGTGCTGTTATCATCCCCATTTTAATGATGAAGAAACTGAGGCAAATAGCCTGTAAGTGTCAAGGGCCTCATCTGAACAGCAGACTTGGCCCTCTATCCACTGAGCCACCTAGCTGCATCAGGGAAAGGGCGAGAGTACCTAGATAGGAGGATGGAGAAGGCTGGGGTGGGTGAATATCAACAGACAATAAATGAAAAGGGATAGAATGCGATAAGGTTAAACTAAAGTTGGAACAAAATTTATGGAGGGCTTCAAAAGCCAATACAAAGAGATTTATAATTTATTCAGTAGGTAATGAGGAGTCATTCAGAGTTTGTGAGTAGGGGGATAATATAATCAGAGCAGTGTGAAGGAGAAATTAGTGAGGGTAATAGAAACTGGAGACTGGTTAAGAGGTAATGACAGTAGGTGCATCATATAGTATATCGTAAAGAAAAAGGTAACTCTGCACCCTGACTCCCATCTCTATAAATTCATAAAACATGTCTTAAATTCTCATGTAAATACCCTCCCCAAGAACACTTCAAATTAGGAGTGCATTTCTCAAAATGTTCTAACATGTTCTCTCCCCCCCCCCCAATCTTTCTTCCTTTTTTAAGTTTTATGTTTGGGTTGGGAGGGAGGAAGCCTTGTGGCTTTTCCCCTTCCTTCCTGGCAGTTGGGACGTGTTCTGAATGGCCTAGTGGCTGGACTCCAGCAAAAGCAACTATTCCAAAGTAACCCCATGGTGGCTACAGCCTCAGAAACAATGTGAACCATACCAGGATCAGCTATCCCAATGCCTAAGTGTGACTTTACCTTGAACTTAATAAATGCCTGTCGACTGACTGACTGTTCAGATGTTCAGACATTGGGATGGCATAAAGGACTGACATTTTCCACCCACCACATGGAAAAGCAGATATCTCATATTAACACCAGAACTGACGTGTGCCTGGGGTTAGAGTGGTGCATTGATAGTGCAGGCCATTTAAAAAAGCTTCTCACATGCTCTTTGCTGACAAAACTGCTATGTGAGCCTTGGCAATAGCCTGAAGGACACGGAGGGGTCTGGTGAGTGGTAAGAGGCACTTTCTCTCAGCCAACACTATTTTTGTTGTTCCAGCAAAATTTTGTTAGATCCAGTAATAAATACTTTAAATCTAGTCTTATAGTAAAATTTATATATATGGGCTCCATCTTTTTTTTCTAACCTCAAGGATGGAAAAGCTCTTTTCTTCAAAAAACACATATGTATGATAGGGACTGTGTCTTTCTCATGTTTTCTTTAGCATCAAAACAGGGAATATCTTTGTGATTGAAACCAAACAGCAATTCTCTAGTTGTATTGTGGAGATGGGGGCACATGGGTATGTGTGTGAGGGGGTGTTTCTCTAAGTTGTATTTTCCTTCTGTTGATCATAGCATAACTTCCTCTTTGGTTCACCAGACTCAATCTCTGCTGTGAAGCCTAACCTATAATGACTGTTGTATGTTTACTCTCTTTTCAGTTCTAGGGAAAATCCGGACCGCAGTAGGCAGTGCCCAGCTTCTCATGGCCCAGAAATTCTACCAGTTCAGAGAACTGTGTGAAGAAAACCTGGTACGTAATCCTCCCTTGTAGCTATTATTACAGGGCTGGCACTGCTGGGGAGAGATTCAGTGCTGAATCAAGCTCCCTCTGACTGGATTAAGTTGAAGGTCATTTCTGAAGTTTCCTACCTAGAGTAAAGAATTTTGTGTTGATCCTTCCTTCTTGCCTTTCATTGCTAAAGATTTTCCATTGGCTTTCATTCAACTGTCATTGGAGTATTTCAAATATAAGAGAAAGTGGCCTGGTCCCTTGGGAAAAGAGCAATGATACTAAAAGCAGGTAGGAAAGCCTAGAAAGGAGTGATGGAGACACAATTCATTCACAGTTTTGCCCACTTCAAACAATGCCATTCCTTCCCTCCCCTTGTTAATTGTTCTTGGGAGAGTTTGACACAGATGTTTAAAACAGTGAATGTTCCTTTAGAGTCATTGGGCTTACCCCAATGTCCATGTACTATTTGGTGCATTTCAGAGGTCAGAGATTAATTATGTAATATTCCCTCAAATTCCCTCAAACCACAAGAATGGTCCACCCAAGTTTTGGCCCAAAAAGGTATGGTAAAGCGCTGCCTCACATCTATCCTTAAGAAGACAGTGTAATAGAACAAGTTCCCAACTAGATTCAGAGAGATCTTAGCTTTGCTTCTGACCTTACTAGCTACACTCAAAGGTGAGTTGTGTTACCATTCAGCACCTCGGTTTCTCCATTTGTAAAATAGAAATGGGAAGGGTGGGCCCAGACCTGTCATTTCACCAGAGAAGAGTAAGACTGGTGTGGAAACTCCCTCCACCAAAGCAGATCATCTATTCATCTATAACTTATACCATGGAGAGTTGCCTGGGAGGCAGATGTTAAGTGACCTGCTTGTGGTGACACAGCTAATATGCATTGTCATCCTGGAATCCCAGAATTATAGAATGCCTTGGGTTTGCATCAGTGAACCAGGTCTTCTCTACTCTAACAACATCCCTCTATCCTTAAAAATAAGGGTAATAATACTTATGCTATCTTCCTCAGGGAATGTGGGGAAGAAAATGTCTTGTAAACCCTTAAGTGACAAATAATATAAGCTGTTGTTTTTAGCAACCTTTCCTCTTTCTACAAGCAAATTCATTCAAGAATAACTTCCTCAAATTTATTTGGACAGTTCAGAAAAGCTAGACAAAGTAGATTTTTTTAAAAAAGTATGTATAGAAAAGAAGAAAGTTGATATTAAACAGCCCGATCTATTATCTGGTGATAGGAAACCATGGATTATTGAAATCTGCCCAGTGACAAAACAAAAGAGTTTCACCGTCCCATACCAAACTTTCACAAAAACTGCTAACAAGGAAATAAACTACTAACTGGGTTAACAAAACTGCTAACAAGGTTTTGTTCTGGGCAAAACTGTAAATAAGGGAAGGCTTGTATTTGTACTCTTTTCTTCCCTTCTTAACTTCCCTGCCTCCTTTTGGCATCACCCCTCATTCTGAAGGGACCAGTCCACCTCTTCTTCCCCAGGTCCCAGGCAAAGCTCCTCTGCTCCTTGCCCCTTTGCAGGGAAGAGAAGGGGGATCCTCTTTTGAGCTTTTCCACAATAGGGAATTATGGATTTAATCAAATCTCTGCTAGTAAGGGAGTTTGTTAATATATATAACCCTGCTGAGTCAGAATTTCTAAATAATCTCTTAAAGAAGGCTGCTAATGCTAGGACTTTCAGCTCACTGGACATGGGCTGATGGGGAAAATATTTGAGGGTTGTTGGGAGAGTCTTTGGTGATAGTCCTGCCAGGTGATAGACTGAGTTTCAATTCCTTTTTCCTCTCCTTTCTCCATTTTAGTGGGGATTGGAAGCACCAATGACATGGCCAAGAGTGACAGCAAGAGGTAGATAAGCAGGAACTAAAACAAAACAAAACAAAAAAAACAGTAATAAAACGGGTTTATGTTTGCTCAGTTGGCTTACCCGGGCCCCACATGTCCTTTCCTTGTCATGACCTTCAGATTTTTGTATTGTACAGAAAAGCTGTGTATACAATCCTAATCTCTCTTCTATACTCCAGGCCTAAATGTCCTATGGAGCATTTCCATGTTCCTACTAGTATACCAAACTCAGAATTTACAAACGTGCACCCAGATTCACTAACCTGTTTCCTCCTAGCTTCCTTACCTCTTTTGATGTTCATTATCCCTAGCCCCCTCACAGGGGCTTAACTAAGGCTCCCATGTATCTCCCTAGCCTTATGTCACTTTATTCCTCTTTGTGCAAAATCTCAGAATCACCGAGTTAAAAAGATTCTCTCAGAGACCATGCTTGCTCATCTAAGCCTTTGCTCAAAGACCAACCAATTCATTCTAATTTTGGAAAGCTCCTAATGATTAAGAAGTTTTTCTTGACATCGAGGCTAAATCTTTCTGTCTTCATCTTAACGCTTCAGTCCTACTTCTGCTTCCAAGGGCCAAGCAGAATAGTTAATCCTTCTTCTAGTCCTACAGCACCTGAGGAATGCCACCCATCCTTCTAATTCTTCTCTTCTTAAGGCTAACCACATTCAGTTCCTTCAGTGCCTTGGATGGCACTCGAATGCCTTAACTTGGATGCCTCGAGTCCCTTAACAATTTGGTTTGCCCTTCTCTGGATACACATCATTTTGTCATTGTGCTTCCTAAAACGAGTCAGTATTGAGCACCATCCTCCGTCTGTGATCTAGAGAGGACACATTTCACCATTCCTGTCAAGCTGAACTATTGGCTATTCCTGAATTTGACCTGCCTCTTCTTGTTGTCCATGGATTTGTCCGGGCTGTTCTCATATGCCTGGAAGGCAGTCTTTCTTAATCTTCACTTCCCAGAATTCTTCTCTTCCTTCAGGGCTTAGTTCAAGGGCCATCAAAGTAGTAGTAGTAGTAATAATAATAATAACAATAACAGCTAACATTTATGTAGCACCTATTATGTGCCAGGCATTATGCTAAGCACTTTACACATATTACCTCATTTGATCCTCACAATAGCACTGAGAGTTAGGTGCTATTATTAATCCCCATTTTAAAGATGAGGAAACTAAGGCAAGCAGAGGTAAAGTGACTTGCCCAGGTCACATAATTAGTAAAAATAGCTGAGGCTGGGTTTGAATTTGGGTCTTTCTGACTCTAGGCCCAGTGCTTGATCTACTTCACTACATAAAGAGAAATTAATTCCCAGTCCCGCTATTTCTCCTATATAACTTTGAGGAAAGTCATTTGATTGTCTTTAAGCCTCAGTTCTTGATTTGGTAAAAATGAGGGGGATGAGCTAGGGTCTTGCTCTAAGGTCTCTTTCAGCTTTAAATCTATAATCCTATGAATTTGGAAGAGTTTGTCAAAGTGTTATCATGAGTTTTTTCAAATCAACGCTGTTAAAAAATAACACAGGGAGCTATTATTTCACCAAAAAATGCAGAGTTTTGAAATTAGAGAGGACCTCAATGGTCATTGAGGTCAACCGCCTACCAGAAAATGAATACCCACTTACAACTTATGTGACATGTGGTTGTCCAAGCCTCTGTCTGAATATGTCCAGCAAGGGAAATGGACTGCCTCTTGAGGCAACGCATTTCGCTTTTGGACACCCCTAATTGTTAGATTTAGCCTGATTTCAGGCCTCCATTTGCCTCTTTGCAGTTTCTACTTTTGGCTCTGGTTCTATCCTCTGTAGCCAACAGGACACATTTATAGGCCTTCCTCCTCATGTCAGTCCTTCAAATACTTGATAATTATATCTGCCCTGAGTCTTCTCTTCTTCAGGCTACACATCCCCAGTTCCTTCAGCCCAACTTCATATGGAATGGATTAAAGTTCCTTTGCCTCCTCTGGATGTTCTTGAGTCCGTCAGTGTACTTAATCTGTGGAGTCTTAAAACTGGAGCCTTCCTTGTTCTTCCTTCTTTTAAGTATTCTCTCCCTGCTCAGACTTTCACAGAGCAATTTTTCTGGACAGTTCCTTTCCTCCGCCTTATCTGTATACGTTTCAAACGTCTCTCTCCAGTAAACTACGTGTTCCTCAAGGGTAGTGACTCTCATTTCCTGTTACACTGACCTGTACATGGTAACGTGCGTGATACCTTGCCCATGATATTTGTTGATTATAAAGTGGGTCAGATCTGGGAACCAGGAAAGAAAAAGGCTTTCAGCCCTCTCTGAGCTCTTATCCTGAGGAGGAGAATAATAATAGCAATACTTTACATTTATGTGGTTCTTTATACTTCTAAAAGCACAGACTAAATGATTAGATCTTGAAAAATGAGAATTGCCTGTAAAAATTCCTTTTCCCTACCAAAATCAATTTCTCCTTCTTCTTCCCCTACCCTCAGTTTCCAATTATTAGTTGGATTAAGGAATTTTATTTCACTGAATACCAGGTAACATCCTAACTCAATTACTGTAGTCAAGTTGCTTACATACTTTTTTTGTTACCAGTTTTCTTATCTATGAAAGATTCCTCCCAAGTCCCTTACAAGATATTCGAGGGTAGGGAGGCAGGAATAAAATATATACCAAACCGTTTGGGTGAGTGGGGGTTGTAGTGCTTGTAGTGTTGTAGCGGTACGTGGGCTTTTGGGAACCACTGAAGCAAAGGCAAGAGCAAATGGTGGTGTAAGTGGTCTGTCAGAAAACTACAATTTGACTGCCTGTGAGCTAAAATGATTTTCGTATTTGTAAATAAAGTTTCATTGTATTTCAAAATTTAAAAAAAAAACATTCTTAGCTTATAGGCCATACAGAAACAGGTAGCAGGCCAGATAGGGCCTATAAGCTGTAGTTTGCCAGCACTTGATTTAAAAAATAACCCCAATCTCTAGTGGCACTGTATATGTTTCTAATACTCATCCACACTGTATTTTTTTTTCACATTGTATTGTATTTTTTTCCAGATCTGTGATTTCATTGATATAGAGAACAGTTCCTATATTAAATGGAGTGAGGAACTTCTTCCACTCATGCAGTTGGAATCTTCTCTAAAATTGTTATTCTATTACCATCATCTCAATCCTTATTTGTCTTCCCCAAGGCTTGTCTGTTCTGTTAGTCTGAACAAAGGGGCAAAGGGCTGTATGCTCCATGGGGAGACTGGAAATATAGTACTGAAGGTTTGAGGCCCCTGCCTAGAAGATTTACCAGTCTCCAAAATAAGAACTATTTAGTATTTATTTCCTCAATAGGATGTGACCCATCAATGTGAAGTGATGGAGATACCTACTTAAAAGTTATCAGCCTTCTCTGAACCAGATTTGGCAAATACTTTTTATAAGTCTTAGTTCTTAAACTCAACATAGACTGACGAACAAATTTTCACTACCTGAACTCAATTGTAATTAGATAGGATTTTTATCATGTTGGGGATTCACAGAATTTAAAAAATATTTGCAAAGTTTAAAATATATATCTACATTTAACTCTGTGATGTGGAAAATGTCAGTAACAATACTATGTGGTACCTGAAGCTTATACACACACACACACACACACACACACACACACACACACACACACTTAGTCCAATGGATCTATAATCTCATCACTTTGATACAGATGATACAATGATACGATTTCCATTTATCCATGCCTGCCTATCCTGTGTATCTCTTTGCCATGTTCTCCCAGAAATTCTGTACAGGGCTTCCTCTGATGCCTTATAATGGTTTGGAAGTCCCCCTGGGTTCTAAAAACCTGTACTAGTAGAATGTAAGTGCAGTCCGGTTATGCCGTCAAGAAAATAATTTTAAATATGGTCCCTGTGACAGACTGAGTCTATTTTCCATGGCCCAACCAAGATGACTACAGAAAGGCATGTCACCAATAGGTGGGCTACTTTTTTGGAGGACGTGATCACTCAGGAAACAAACAAACAAACAAAAAAATTTTAAGGGCCTCAGATAAGAGCTCCTTATCGAATGAGTGGACATATTGCTTCATATGCTGAATCATAGCACACACATGCGATTTTTAAAAGATATTTACAGATAGAGATAGTATGTATATGATTTTTAAGAAATATTTTTAATAATTGTATTTCAATATGATTGAATTCCTTTGTAATCCTATGCGTTTTATTTTATACTTTAAAAAATGTCATTCTGAGAACAAGTCTGTTGGCTTCACCAGACTGCCAATGGATTCCATGACACAAACACGGTTAAGAACCCCAGTTTTAAGCCAATTAAGTCCTAAAGGATATAGTCAAAACAACTATAGAACTCTGCTCTTGAGTAATAAAAACATCTTATTTGCTAATATAAAATATAGTACTTTGAAAAACCTAGTTAGTGAGCATTCTAAACTTTGCAATGAATATTGAAGCTAGATTGCTTAGTTACAGTATCGGAGAGACTTTTGCATTTGTATATTCCTGGGGCATCCAAAAAAGGTATGGAGTTTTTGTTGTTGTTGTTGTTGCTGCTGTTAAATGTTTTAATTTAGATATTATCTTAAGAAATTGAAATGGAGAATGTTCATCTTATTCTTGCCCACTCTAGGACTTTAAACATGTAGGACTTATCCAACCTATAGAGGCAACTAGATGGCTCAGTGGATAGAGCGCTGGGCCTGGAGTCAGAAGGACCTGAGCTCAAATGGAGCCTCAGACACTTACTAGCTGTATGACCCTGGACGAGTCATTTAAACTTTGCCTTAATCTCCTGGAGAACCACTCCAGTATCTTTATCCCATACGGGATCACAAAAAGAAACAACTCAACACAACAACATCCAGCCTGCAGGGAATGGGGCATGAAGGAGAGAGTCATACATACTGCCTTGATATTTGAGACTTCAAATGTACAAGGGAAAATCCAAAAATCATTTTGCTCTACTTTAGACTTTTTAAAAAGGCATTTTGGAAGTGCCACTTTAATGCCATGATTTAAAAATTTCATAATTTCTTTGCACTAACAGCCACTGAAGTTTGAATATTTTTCTTTCTCTTATACAGAATCCCAATGCTCATCTGAGGCCAACCTCCCAGGACTTAGCAGGGTTTTGGGATATGCTGCAGTTGTCCATTGAAAATATTAGTATGAAATTTGATGAACTTCATCAGTTAAAGGCCAATAATTGGAAACAGATGGATCCTCTTGACAAGAAGGTAGAACAATGTAGATTTTGTATGGTTCATTTAAAAACCTGCACAAACACTGGACAGACTAAATAGGCCTCTCTGCATACAGTCCTGCCGTTTAAAATGTGAAATGAAGCTTATATCAGATTAATTTCATTGTAACAACAATGTTTACATAGTAATCATCTGGGATATTATCTGTAACATGTTTCAGGCATATTTTTAAAGAAAATCTGTCTTTGTGAATCAGAAAATGGGTATGTGGTTTTTTGGGGTTTGTTTTTTTTTTTAGTTTTTGTTTTTGCTTTTTTTTGGTTAATTAAACTTTAAGTTAAATCCTATTAGAAGATCAGTCATTAAAAGGAACTGCCTTACATATTGATTTTCAAAGTAAAATAAATGACATCTTTCTACAGTGCATGGTTACAAAGATCAAGAGTTTAACTTCCTTGCACACTAAGATGTGTTACTGAGAAAAATAGGAAACACTGAAAACATCACGGACTTTGGTTCATAAATACGGTAATAAAGAAATCACTGTTGTTCAAGCCTAAGAACATATGCCATGAAAATTTCACATTTTCATATTTCAAATGTTGGATTTTCAAAAGTTTTTTTGTTTTGTTTTGGGGGAGGTATTGTTCACTGGGTTCCCATGTGCAGTCATATAGAAATAAAGGTTCACATTCTTTCCTTTTAATGGTTGAACCTTAATTGTTAAACCCTGGCTGTGATGGGCCCATCAGTCTCCTACATGTGAACAAAATCTACCTTCTTAGACTAGTATGTCTTGATCTTTTTTTTCGTGCTTTGTCTAGGACTGGCCCAGTGGTCAGACAACTCCCCTTGACAGTTCACCATATAAATATGTGCTGATGGATATGTCCTTGTAACACTCGTGACCCTGCTATTTTTCAGGTTTCCTCACCCCTAATACTGGCATATCCTCTGGGCAGTCCATTGATAACAGTAACTCAGTTCAATTTGCTGCTATCAAGGCATAAGAGCAGTGCCCTTTGGGATTAATGAGTGACCCCTAAGAACACTCATCCTAAGTGTGTAGCCACTAAAAAAACCAGAAGGATCATGCTATTATAACTCTTCCCTCCTTCTACCATCCCCTCCTCATCACCCCCAATACACTTGGCCTGGAAAGGGAAACAAGGAAATGTCACTGATGCATGTGTGAAATTTTTCCTGGAAAGAAGAGGGGAGGCTGTTTGTATCCAATCTTAATTTTATTTCATTTCTTTTTTAAGGCAGAGATACAGGTCACTATTTCTTAAAGTTAATCTATTCATGAGAAGACACTCTCCAAAGGACAGTTGTGTGTGTGTGTGTGTGTGTGTATATATATATACATATATATATATACACACTTACACATTACATACTCCTGCAACATATAAGCAATGGGTCCTGTGTCCATTTTTATGCCAATCTTTCTGCTTATTTATTTCTTTTATAAGGTCAACTCTAGGACCAGGAATTTATATATCAAAAAAAGTTACTCTCTGAAGAAATGAAATATCATATAACCTATCGAGATTTGTACCATAGGGAATTATTTGACTTGATTCCTGGATAATTAAACAGCCTGTCTCTGATTATGATCATAGCTTTTCTGTTCCCTGTCCACTTTTTAAAGAACAATGCAATACACAAATCGATCTTGTGAAATAGTACCCACTTTTCTCTCATTCTCTCCTCTTTGAGGCACATAACCTACACCTTAAATGGAGAGGAGATACCCAAGGTAAATAAGTTTAACTCAGCACTCTAAGCAGTCAGGTGAAGGAAACCACTGTTTCCTTCAGGAGGAGAACAGGAGAAAGTATTCAATCATCCCAGCTTTGCCTTGGGCAAAGCCAATTAACTTTTCGAGGCTTCTTTTTCCACATTTATAAAATAAGAGCGTTGGACTAAATGATATCCAAAGTCCTTTCCAGTTCCAGCTTCATGGTTCTATAGAATGTGTATTGTGCAGAATAATATAATCTGTATTCTCAGAATCCATTTACATGTAGTTGGGGAATTTGGGAGTGAGGGGGCAAGAAAGGATGGATGCATTTTACTTTAAACGCAGTCTAACACAAAACCGGTCTATCCATTGAGTTGGTCCAAGTTATATCCTGAAAGTTAGGCACCTTTTTCTAAAAGTTCATCTTGGTTTAGATATCTACATTTCCTTATTGGCCAGTGCCTTTTTCCTGCCAAAATGATAAATAGCATATGTTTCCTCAGCAGCTTTGGAAATATCTACCAGTTTTACAGTATGTTGCTGATAATAACAGTGTGACTCATGCTCATTCAGTACTGTGCTCAATTTCCCCAAGTTCCCTATGTGTGGATATGCCTTTCTGACCGCCAGTCGTCTCCAGGCCTCTGATTTCCGTCGTAGGCCTCCACGGCAGCCAACTGGAGCTGGCTTGACCCGTTAGTGTACTAGTTTCCACCTACACTATGAAATATGTCCCGGAAATTCCAGTGTCCTCCTTCCCTCTTTGGTGATCCTGCATGGTGTATTGTCTCTGTGTGTTGTGCAAAAGAGTTACGAGTCTCTGTGGCATTCTTTACATCTAGAGAACACAATTCACCACTACAGATGTTTACTTTGACAACCTCTTCCTGAGGGTTTGCTAACTGCTTGTTTGTTTGGGGTTTTTTGGTTCTGAGTTATTGGAGGGTTGGGGTTTTATTTTGGTCTGTTTGCTTGGGGAGGTGGGTGGCAGAGGTGTTTGGGGTGGGGGTAGTGGTGGTATATTGTTTCCTTGAGTTTTGAACACTGAGCCAACTTGCACAAATGAGCTCGCCTTTAGTAACTGATGCAGAGTCCTAAGCTGCTGCTGCTGCTTCCTTTTCCCATCTCTGGCACCAGGAAGAGTCTGGATTCCCCAGAGGCTACCACACTAAACGGTTAGATGTGCTGGGAGCTTCAGCCTTTTCAGCATGAGGGTGTTTTAAATATCTACACCGTTACCTTGGAGAAAACTAGCTCTGCTATTCCTTTCCCTTAAGCTTGACAATATTCTTTTTTTATACATCTTTTGAATACCAAAGCCAGTCCAATGAAGAAAAAAAAATACAGTATGCAGATTTAAGAACTAACAACCCTTAGGTAAAAAATGTGTGTTCTAACTACTGACCTATCCCAGTTTTTCCCAAGCTTACTCTGAGAAGCTGTGTAATGTCATGAACCTTCTGCTTTGATCAGGAGAGAAGGGTCCCTCCTCCAGTGCCAAAGAAGCCGGCGAAAGGCCACGTGCCGCTGATCCGGGAGCGCTCCCTGGAAAGCTCGCAACGCCAAGAGGCCCGCAAACGCCTGATGGCCGCCAAGCGGGCTGCTTCAGTCCGCCAGAACTCGGCCACCGAGAGCGCCGAGAGCATCGAGATCTACATCCCTGAAGCCCAGACCCGGCTCTGAAGGCACCAGGCCTCTTGACCAATCCCCATTCCACATCCTTGTTCAGTCACCATGCAGTATTTGTAACCCATCCCCATTCCCCTTCTCTCTCTTAGTCTCTCTCTCTTTCTCTGAATTTCTCTTTCTCTCTCTCTCTCTCATTGTCTATTAGGATCCCATGACTTCCACTATTGCTGTAGTTGTCACTTCCAAGAGACATCCTATAATGCCCCTTGGCCCCTTACTTTTCTGACAAGTTTGCCCATATTCCTCATCATGCTTTTTAACCCATGTACTGATGCTGTCAACATGCCTCCTGCAGAAGTATACAATCCTTTATTTTCTTGACAGGAAACAAAACACACCTGTATAGCACACACCATTGAAGTCATTCACAATCCTCAGTTCTCTCTCAAGCTAGTCCGTCACCTAGTGTACAGCAATATCAAACCATAGGGTTTGGAAATCTAGTATTGTAGGGTGATCCTTTGGGACTGACTCTACAGTCTTCCTCATTAAAGATGAAAGAAACTAGGGCTCAGATTCCCTTTTTTTAAAAATGGCTATTATTTTTTAAAACAGATGGAGCACTTTATTCTGAACCTCAGAATCATACCTTCTCACCAGAATAATGAGTCACAAAGAAAAGGGTGGAATGGACTGGGATGGAGGATGGATGGGGTTATACATAGCTGTGTAGTGGAGGAAGGGAGAAGTGAATTCTCCAAGTGATGCCTGGGCTAGAAAACATCCTTCTGAGAGGGACCTGCACCACTCACAGCTGCATAAACTGCCTCATTTTAATTTCATCAGTTACTAGTTCAAATGTTTCAATCAGCAGAAGATTGTAATTTTGATCTTCCAGGGAGAAAAAAAGTCTATTCTGAAAGGCAATAAAATGGAGAAAGGAAAGGAGAGGAGAAAAAAGGATAAACAAGTTGGAGATATTATATAAGAGATTTTCCTTTGTCCAATTGTTAAGACCCTTTAGACTTGTAATGTATTGATGATTCCTGTTGTATTGTAAGGATTATATTGGTTTAAAACAAAAAGAAAGAAAAAAAGGTTGGTTCTGTTCATTTGTTAATGTCTTAATCCTGGTGGGACTATTAGATCTCTCTCTCTCTCTCTCTCTCTCTCTCTCTCTCTCTCTCTCTCTCTCTCTCTCTCTCTCTCTCTCTCTCTCTCTCTGTCTCTCTCTGTCTCTTTATCTCTCATTCACACCACACACACACACACACACACACACACACATACACACATGTGCGTGCATACACACCTGTTTGTGAGATGCTCAAATGAAGACCATAGCAGTTTTCAAAGCAAAGTTTTTGGTTATATCATTAGCTAGTTGTATGCTACAGTTCAGACTGCTTTGCCCCCAGTAGTTCACATTTCAGAGGTCTTACTCTCTCTTTGAGTTTCTTCCTAGCAAATACAGTCTATCCCATGATTTCAAACATCAGGATTTTGACCTAGTGGTTGTACGCTGATAAAATACTGTTTCCACTCCAAGACAGACAAGGCTGCATCATTACAAATAGTTGTTTCATTGTTTGTTTGAAGTCATGAATAGACAAGTTTCCAGGTGGTGAGGTGGGAAATATGACCCACAAGGTTTAGAATCCAAAAGGAGGGGGAACAAAAAGTTGTGATTCTTAAATGTTGAAAAGAAATATAGTCTGTTGACATAGAACACTGATTCCCATCTGCTGGCATGATGGACAGCAGGCACTTTGCATCTAGCTGGACTTGGCTCAAAATGCCCTTATTCTTTTAGCAGCATAAACATTCAGATTATGGCAACCCTAATGGATCCTTGGCATTTTCTATCAGCTCACAGGCTCAAGCATTTGTAATTACCACTGCAAAACAAAAGTCATTCTAAAGCATCTATTAAGATGCTCATCATACCAGAGAGGCAGGTTTTTTCTTTTAATTCTCTATCAATAGCTTACTATAGCCAGGTGCTAATTTAATTTTATTTGTGAAATTAAGAGAGATAATGGATCTTGACAACAAATATTTTCATTGACTCGTTCTCAAACCGCTAGAGAATTTGCTACCTCTCACAGAGCCATTGATATCTGAACTATGTTTATTTTGGGGGAAAACAAAACACAGGGCACAAATGTTTACTGCTGTGGTTTTACAAGATAAGGGCTACTAACTTGTCATTAAAAACAAGACAAAACAAAAAATTTTTAACTACAGTGAGCAGAAATCCAATTTGACCCCCAGAGAGCTTCATGCATTGAGAGCATCCAGAGGGTCGGTGTTTCAGGCATTTGAATACAGCACTGGATTTGCTCGTTTTTAAGAGAACACGCTTTTTTATTTAACGTTCAGCAGCAATGAAAGCTCATGCAAAGTTTCCATCTTAAGAGTGCCAACTGCCACCTCTGATCATTTATGGTCACATTCCAATTGGAGGTTCTTTGGAACTCATCTGTGCCAAGATGGATGGAGCATCTCCAAGTTCCATGCTCACAGCTGATGTTAAGTGGATCTAAGGTAGTCTTAAGTTTTGGACTTAAAGGAGTAGATTGAGAAGCTGGTTCGACACCGGTTTCCAGTCTTTTCTTCAGAGACTGATAGTCCAGGATGTTGAGAAGTGGGAAAGTTGATTAATCTTATCTATAATGAAATATGGTATTTGTATATTCATAGGATATTTTTGGTATGTATTTTAAATCTTTTAGCTGAATGCCTATTTGTTCCCATGTGGACAGGGCATTGTGATCTTTGTCTCATTGATTAACATGTTTTGAACAGTATAAACAATTTAGCAAAAGAAATATAGAAGGACAACTGTGGCCCCTCAGAATGTTGCTTGTTAACCACTTGACACCTTCAGGTGACTACCATAAGCATAGGATATATGTTCCATTGTTCTTTTTGATGTGATTTGTAGTAATGTAATGTTATTTTTCAGTTCATCCTGGCCAATATGTGTACCCGGAAAAATTACTTATTTTGTTTAACTTTGGTACAAAAGTTGTTTGCATTTTCAGGGGGGGGGAATTTAAAAGAAAGTTTTTGCTCCTACATCAAAAGTTATTTAAATAAATTAAGTATTTATTATATTTTTGCGGATGTTTCCATAAATTCACACAATCTTTTTGTAAAGAAAGCTGATGAAATGGATTACAGATTTTTAATATTTGAAGAGGAAAATAGAACTAATTTATTTGTAATATATTTCCATTATTTATAGATGTTCCCTTAATGTTTTGCTGTGCATTATCAATTTAATTTAAACCTTATCCTTGTGAATTTATCATTTCTTTTTTAAGACATGTCTAGATGCATATTTTACATAACTGGAATGTAAATCACTGGCATACCTGAATTCCCAAATGTGATTTAAAAAATTATTTTGGTTTGGGAAAAAAAATTAAAATTTGAAAGCCTTTAGATGGAGGGGTGGGGAGCATTTTTATGGCTTTATGAATTGGATTTTCATAGGATTATTTACCTAGTTTGTGTGTGGACAGAAAACAATTGTAAATAGATGAATGTTTCCCATAATGTAAAAAAGAACAAATTAATAAAATAATTAATGCACTGCTTGTAAGGTCTGTGGGTTTTCATTTGAGATTGACAGTCCATCCGGAGTAGACATTCTTGTACCCTTTGGAGCAACTATTAAGTAATTAAGAAATGAGGCAACTTCCTACTCCTCTGCATTGTAATCTTGCTATAACTACTCATTGTTGAGCAGTGCTGAATATAAGGAAGGTCTGTCTTGAATTTCATCTGGGAAGATTAGTTTAAAAATGCCCCCCAAACACCTTTCAGTAAGGGAGTCCATGAAGCATTTTATGCCACGGAACCCAAGAACAAGCATTACAGTGAAATTCAGATATATTTCATAAAAGTTTTATACTCTGAAGTAGCTTCAGATAGCCACCTTTATTTAGATAGCTACCTTTGTTTCTATGACATCATCAAAGACATGTGTTCCTTGAATGCTAGGCAAAAATGAATGAATGGATGAATGAATGAATGAATGGATGAATGGATGGATGAATGCCTGATGCGTAAAAGACATTCAGGTTTTAAAGGGAATTGCATCGTTGCTGGATTTAGGGTCAGAAGACCTGAGTTTGAATTCCAGCTCTATTATTTGCTACCTGTATGATCTTAGTCAAGGAGGCAGCAAGGTGGTTCAGTGGATAGAGCACTAGGCTTAGAGTCAGGAAGACCTGAGTTTAAATCTGACTTCAGACACTTACTATTTGTGTGACCATGGGTAATCACTTAACCTCTGTTTGTCTTAATCTGCTGGAGAAGAAATGGCAAACCATTCCAGTATCTTTGCCAAGAAAACCCCCAAATGAGGTTATGAAGAGTTGGACACAAATGAAAACAACTCAGCAATAACAATAACTATTGTTAAAGGGTATAGGGGCTGGAGTCAGGGAGACTCATCTTTCTGAGTTCAAATCCAGTGTCAGATACTTACTAGCTGTGTGACCCTGGGCAAGTCACTTCACCCTGTTTGCCTCAGTTTCCTTGTCTGTAAAATGAGTTGGAGAAGGAAATGCAAACCGCTCCAGTATCTTTGCCAAGCAAACCCCAAATAGGGTCATGAAGAGTCTGACACCACTAATGGACTAGACAACTACAACAAAGGGTCCTGGAGTTAGAACCAGAAGGATCTCAGAGGCCATCTGGTCCAACCCACTCATTTTGCAGATAAAGAAACTGAGTTCAAGTGGTCAAGAAGCAAGTCAGAGAGGTTAAGTAATTTGCCCAGGGTCACAAAACTTGTCAGTGAAAAACCTATGTAGGGGCAGCTAGCTGGCACAGTGGATGGAACTCCAGCCTTGGAGTCAGGAGGATCTGAGTTCAAATGTGGCCTCAGACATGAAACTTACTAGTTGTGTGACCCTGGGCAAGTCACTTAACCCCGATTGTCTCATCAAAAAAAAAAGGCAACAAAAAAAGAAAAGAAAAAAAAAAAAGCTAGGTAGCAGAGTGGATAGAGCACTAGACCTAGAAGCAGGAAGACCTAAATTCAAATCTTGCCTTAGACAGACTTAGTGGCTGTATTCCTGGACAAGTCACTTAACATTTGTCAACTTTGGTTTCCTGAATTGTAAAATGGGTATCATCTACTCCCCAAGGTTGTTGTGAGAATCAAATGAGATAATGTTTGCAAGGTCATAAATATTAATTATTATTTAAAGCTGAGGCTAGAAGTCAGCCTTCTGGTTCTTAGATATTACCTCTATCATTGTCAATCACTACCATCGCAGGATTGTGAAATCACAGCTCTGACCCTGGAAGGGATCACAGATTATCTAGTCCAGCCCCTGTCATTTTACAGATGAGGAAGGTAAAGCCCACAGAGGTGAGGTGAAGAAGGAAGCAGCAGATCCTAGACCTGAAATCCAAGTTCAGCCTGCTTTCCCCCATACCATGCTGCCCCCAAAAGGTGAGGGTATTCTCAGTCAGGGTGAACTGGGTTGCCTCTGGCGTCTCTTGCAACTCAGATTCTATGAAATAGTTGAAAGTTATAGTTAAATATCTGCCCTTATCCCATCCCTGATTTTATCAAGAGTCACACTGATGTAACATACTTTAAATAAGATGAAGAAAAAGAGAGACATTAGAAATTATTGTTTCTTAATAACGGAAGTCAAATTAGACTTATACATGCCCTAAATCTGAAAAAGGTTAGCTAGGTGTCGCAGTAGATAGAGTGCCAGGCCTGGATTCAGGAAGATTCATCTTCCTCAGTTCAAATCTGGCTTCAGACACTTATAATGAAACCCTGGACAAGTCACTTAACCCTCTTTGCCTCTGTTTCTTCACCTATAAAATGAGCTAGAGAAGGAAATGGCAAACCACTCTAGTATCTTTGCCAAGAAAACCCCAAATGGGGTCATGAAGAGCTGGACACGATTAAAAACAACTGAACAAAAATCTGAAAATCCAAGGACCTCCGACCATAAACAAGCACACTTGGTACTTCTTAGATACTGTATACTATAAATGCACACCCTGGTCCAAAAATGGAAAGTGTCAGAGGAAAAGCAGTGTTCCTCCCCTTTATATATGTGACCCTGATGGCTCAGCCAACATAACACAATGCACTTTTGAAATGCTTCAAAAGAAGAATGATCAGGGACAGCTAGGTGGCACAGTGGATACAGCTCTGGCCATGGAGTCAGAA